GCACGACGAACGGGGTCCGTTGGGACACCACGGGGATCGGGGAAACATCAAACGGGGAAGCCAGAGTCCCGAGGTGGGAGAAATTCCAGCGGGTAGCCGGTGGGTGGGGGTCCACCCGCCGGCTGCCCGCCGGCTGACACTGTTCCGGGCAGCGGGTGCCCGGCGGGCAACTGCCCGCCCGCCGGCTGCCCGCTGTCGGAGCTGCCCGAATTGCCGCGGGTAGGTGGCGGGTCCCCTACCCCCACCTACCCCCCACTGACTCTTTTCACCACTTTTCGTCCCGGGAACCGTTGTGGAACCCGAAACCATGCTTAGACACTTTTCAACGTAATTAACGACAACACATAGACAATTAACGGATCAATACGATAAACGAACGGCACATAACCTAACATGCTTTTCTACTCATAATCAACACCCAAACATGCGATTTCCCACCCGATAATCCAAGAATAAGATCATACGATATAACCTAGGGTTCTAATCACTTTTATATCAACAAGAATACGGTTCGTCTTCTAATTGCAAGACTCGGTAGGAACAACACATAATCATCAAGGATACCAATTAATCATCAAGAACATCATAATCATCAAGAACAACACATAATCATCAAAATCCCAATTAATCATCAAGAACATCATAATTATCAAGAAACTCCCAATATCAAGATTATCAAGATTCCCCATGGAATCATTAAATCAACATCAATAATAATCATAGTAATTCGCCATCTACAATCGTATGGGGGAAACCCTAAGGGGAAATCATAGCTATGAAAATAGGTTTCGTTGAGACATGGGTTACCTCTTAGCCTTAATTAATTCCTTGGCTATGAAGGATCTTTCTTTAAGCTTTCTTACTTTCTTGATTTCTTCTAAGGGAATTCTTGGAGCTCTCCTGGAGTGATGGGGCGTCTAGGCGTGTGGGAGGGGGTTCTAGGTTCTCCCTAAGTTCCCTATTTATAGATCCAAGGGTTTATTTAGAGTTTATTCCTATTGGGTTTAGGGGTTGGGTTTATATAATTGGGCCCACAGGCTATGGTGGCCTTTTCCCCTAATTAACCATTATAATTTATTCTTTCTCCTGGGTTATTAATTAATTAATTATTTAATCAGTTGGTTTTAGGATTCGTAACACGGGGTGTTACAGAGACTTTATCCCTCTGAACAAGATTGGTTTGATGAAATTAAACCATGGACAAAGTCCAGATTTAATGCCTTTCATAGGCTCAAACAAATCTCTTCCTAAGTGCCAAAAGATCGAGTCAATTTTCAAGACCCGGCACCAAAAACCTTTTCGAAAATTAGGTATGATTATAATGTTTTCAATGGTTACGAATCACATAATCTTGGATCAATGAGAACTAGGTGGATTTGGATACCAAAAAGGACTAACACTCAAGGACCCAAATTAAGTTGGGTACCTAAAAATGCGTAAACTGTTTGCAGGAAATTTGGTACTTCGATAGTGGATGCTCTCGACACATGACTGGAAACAAATCTAGTCTTATGGACTTTAAAAATATCGAAGGACCAAAAGTTGTATTTGGAGGAAACGATCGATATGGTACAACCAAAGGAATAGGAACAGTATCCCGCAATGGTCTAAAAATAGAAGACGTATCCTTTGTTGAAGGATTAAAATTCAACTTGCTGAGCACAAGTCAATTTTGCGATAAAGGCTATCTTGTAGAATTTTTCAAAGACAAGTGTCAAGTGAAGAACGGATCCACAGGCGAGATTGTTCTAGAAGAAATAAGAAAGAAAAATATGTATGTTGTAGACTGGAACTCAACCAAAGACTCTGTGTGTCTTGTTGCAAACAACTCAAGTAATGTGGGTTGGGAATGGCACAAAAAGTTGAGTCATCTCAACTTCAAAACCATTAACAAGCTCGTGACGAGAAATCTAGTCAAAGGGCTACCCAACATCACCTACAGAAATGATCAGATTTGCGATGCATGTCAAAAGGGAAAACAAATCAAATCATCCTTCAAAACAAAAACACACGAATGAAGTGAAAGACCTCTTAGTCTACTACATATGGATTTATTTGGTCCTATGGAGCCAATAAGTATGAGTGGTAAGAAATATACTCTTGTTGTTGTTGATGATTTTTCCAAGTACACATGGACGATATTTCTCAGCAAGAAAAATGAAGTAAAGAATAAGCTACCAGAACTTCTCAAACAACTTCAAAATGAAAAGGAAGTCAACATTGTCAAAATTCGCACTGATAGAGGAACAGAGTTTGTGAATAGCGTAATTCAAAATTACTGCAATACTCAAGAAATTTTGCATTAACTATCAGCCGCAAGAACTCCACAACAAAATGGAGTTGCCGAAAGGAGGAATCATACGCTTAAAGAAGCCGCACGAGTAATGATAGTTGCAGCCGAGCTACCTAAACGCTTTTGGGCTGAAGCAATCAATACTGCTTGCTATACCCAAAATAGAAATCTAATCTACAAGCTGCACAACGTACAAGACACCTTATGAATTGTGGTAAGGGAGAAAACCTAACCTTAGTTATTTTCATTCATTTGGTTGCAAATGTTTTGTTCTTAATAATGGCAAAAACTATCTAAAAACATTTGATGAACGTGCAGATGAAGCAATATTCTTAGGATATTCTTCCACCAGCAGAGCATTCAGAGTATTAAATAAATCAACAATGGTGGTTGAAGAATCCATTCATGTCGTATTTGATGAATTCTCGAAAAGCAAGGAATCTCCAACAGTTGGTATCAATGTTCCTAAACACATAGATAATGCTAATGAAATTTCTGAAGATATTTTGCAGGGAAATACAATCTAAACTGCTCCAGAACAGAACCCGATGTGGAAGATGAAATAAGGGAAGAAGTAAGGGAATGTGTTTGGGGTTGGAGTTGGAACTAATAGTGATGATCAACGAATGGATCAAACCGCAAATCCAAATCCTTCCACTTCACACGAACCCTCTACTTCTCAAAGTAATTTTCAACCGGATTTGAAGTGGCTAAGAAACCATCCATAAGATCAAATCAATGGAGATATTCATGACGGCGTGAGAACTAGATCGCATTACAAGAAACCCTATTTTCATGTTTTCTTTCTCAGGTTGAACCGAATGACATAGATGAAGCTTTAAAAGATCCTAGTTGGGTTGAAGCAATGCAAGAAGAGCTAAATCAGTTCGAACGCAACGATGTTTCACTACAAGAAAAATCACGAATCACGACAGAAACATCGCGACAGAGCGTAATCCGTTGTCAATTTGCAACGGTTTTTGCGACGGAACGTGATCTGTCACGGTTTTGCGTCGAAAATGGTAAAGGAAATCAATTCTGTAGCAATTTTTAGCGCAAAGTGAGAAAAATCCCAGGATATTTTGGCGCCCACATTTTGGTGACAGATTTTGCAACAGAATTAAGTTTTGTCACCACAACGGCGACGGAAAAGACAACGGTTGATGGTTCCGTTGCGGTTTTGCTACAGAATCCGTGACAAAAATAATTCCGTTGCAATATTTGGCGCAAAGTTGAAAATATTCCCATGTAATCTTTGCACCAAGAGATTGACGATGGAGGCTGACGACGGCATTTGCGACGAGACTTTTTCCCGTCCCAAAAGTATATAAATTTTGAAGTAAAATTTATTTTTGCTACAAAATGGGACGACAGAATCAATTCTATCGCCAATATGTTGACACATTGGCGACAGAAAATGCGACGCCCTATATGTCTGTCGCGCTATGACGATGGAATCGGCAACGAAAATTAATTCTGCTGTGATGTTTGGTGCAACAGTAGATTTGATGTTTGAGGTTGGCGACAGAACTTACGACGAATGTTAATTCCGTCACTGAAATAATAAAATTTTTAAGTAAAGTTTATTTTCGCTACAGAATGCGACGAGCCGACAACAAAATCAATTCTGTCGCCAATATGTTAACACATTGGCGACAGAAAATGTGACGCCCTATATGTCTGTCGCGCTATGGCGATGGAATAGGTAGCAAAAATTAATTCTATTGTGATGTTTGTCGCAAAGATAGATTTGACTTTGAGGTTGGCGACAGAACTTACGACGGTCATTCTTTCCGTCACTAAAATATTTAATTTTGCTACACAATGCGACGACAAAATCAATTATGTAGCCATTATGTTGACATATTGGCGATAGAAAATGTGACTTAATTTTTAAATGATTTTTAATATTTGTTGAAATAAATATTTTAATTAAAAGTTGTTTTTTTTTTTTAAGTAATTCGACCAAATTTATGAAAATTTTGAAAGCATGGTATATAAGTGCAAAAATTTAAATTTATTAAACAAATTGAAAATTATATTGCATCTTTAAATATAAAATTATTATTAGCAAATATCGAGTTAGTACAATTTCAAGTAACTAACGTTGATATGGTACAAAATTAATATAAAATGTGATAGCATTGGTCTCTGATCATGGGATATTTTTATATACCCTAATGATAGCAACATTATAGTATTAAAATCATATGCAAAACTGAAGCCGTATTAATAAAAAATTATATTGAAATTCTCAAATTCGTAGTTAGGTTATTAAAAATTAAAAATAAGTGTATTCTTACAAAAAAAAAATGTATATATATAATGAGACTTTGTTTCATGCTATCTTGTTTTCAGCATCGTGTAAATAATTGGTTTAATCACTATTATAGTTATTTGATTTGGTTAAACAATCAATATGAATATTTGATTAATCAATTTTTTAAAATACACATTTTGATTATATCGAAAATAATTATTTTTATTTTATATTTAAAATTGTACTAAACATTTACCAATCTTAACTTTCGTGTTTTTCTGTGTTGTTTTCTATTCCTGATACTGTGAAACAACCAAAGTACAACATAATGTTGTCGATGAATATAATTGGTTTAAATCTTTTCAACCAACACATGCCGACAAAAAAATGTCTCTGTTTTCTTTTAGATTTTAGAAAAAAAAAAACCTTTCATTCTGGGGGATTGTGGTGTGTGTTAATTTGTATGTAGTTTGTCTTGTGATCAATGGCTTGGTAGTCTTGCAAATTGGGATGAAACTTTGGTCATGCAGAAATAATATCAAAAAGATTAAAGGACTCAAAATTATGCATGCCCTCTAAAAACTGTTAGCATACATTCTAATAGTCTAGCAAGGAGCAACTAAAGTTTATATTTTTACAATATTAATGCATTATAATATTTTTTTCTTTATTCTTAGAGGGGCATTCGATTCAAATATTGGAATAGGAATGATAATAGTAATATTATTTTAATCACTAATGATTGTTAAATATATGAATGTATATATGTAGGTATTGGAATAGGAATGATAATAATAATATTTTTTAAACACTAATGATTGTTAAATATATGAATGTATATGTGTAGGTCTTTACATATAAGTATTATGGATAGAAGTTGGATGTATCAAAGGCGAACTCAACGTGGTGATCTTAATCCAGATTTTATAAAAAGATTAGAAACATGTATTGAGTTTGCATGTAGTAAACCATATTTTAAAATAATAATTATATATTTTTATGTTGGTAGAAACTTTTATTGACACTATTGTGATAAAAACAGTGTGATTATATTATATTTTGCCTCTTGAGTTGATGTTTGAAATACTTTTATTATATATTATAATCTTATTTGTTTTAATTTTTATTTTATTTTGTTTCTATTTTAACTAATTTTTAGGAAAAGCAATTTGATCGTCTGCCATCATATTTTGAATTATTCAAGCATACACATACCAAAAAACATGATGGCCAAACATTTATAGTTGAAAAAGACAAACAAATCCATGTAAGTTTATTTATCTTTATTTTCCTTGAATGTATATGAATTTTTATAACAATTGTTCTAATTTTTTAATTTTTTGCAGGAACAAATTGCATTGTAACGGGAGGTATTAACACAAAATGGAGAAGAAGTAGACGAGAGTCAATTGTACTATGATGGACTTGACGGACATGATAAAAAAGAAGAGTTTACGGACTTGGCTCATATGGTACATTAATTCGTAGTCCAATAAATGCTAACACATCGAACAATATACAATCAACCTCAGAGCCATCAGAGAATGCCTAGTTCTGCAAAGGTTCTAGATGAGATTGAGAATTTGAAGGCTTTTATGGTTCTTATGTAGCAAAAATTAAATGCTCTTGAGAGTGAGAGAGCTATATTTCATCGTCACCCTTATCACGACCGAATTCACCTTGATTTGATTTTTCTTTTATGAATTACTATATTGTTGTTTATACATTAATTTGGTATTAAGTACAATAAATTATATTGTATTTTAGTTTGAACATTAACATTTTAAATACAAATATTAGAATTTTAACAAAATAATAATAATTACAAAAACATTAAAATAATAATTTAGCAGATTTTCGATGAAATATAATTTTAGTGATGGAATATTAATTGTAATTATGGCGGCGAAAATATTTTTGTCATCCAAAACGCGACAGAATCACGACAGTGATTAGTTCTGTCATTATTTTATGACGAAATTATGTCACGGAAAAGAAATTTTGCGACGGAATATCTAGCGATGGAATTACTACGGAAATTTGTTCCGTCATTTTCTTACGACGAATTTGTGCGACGGAAGACAATTTGCAACGGAAAAATTTGCGACGGAATAGCGACGACAATTTGTTTCGTCGTTTTTTTATGACGAAATTTTATGACGGAATGAAAAAGTTGCAACGGAAATGTAAGCGATGGATTCGCGACAATAATTATTTTCGTCGTTATATTTCACGACAGAGATATGCAACGAAATATGAGTTTTGCGACGGAATATTTTTTCACGCAATGGCGACAGAAAGAAACATTTCCGTTGCAAAAATCGCGACGGACTCGTGACGGAATGACTTCCGTCGCCAATTTCACGACGAACAATTCCGTCGCCATCGCTCGCAACGGATTATTTCCGTCACGAATTGAAATACGACAAGCCATGAGACTACGGAATGAATTCTGTCGCGAAAATGAAAAATTCCGTCGCAAAACGTGATTTGCGACGGAATTTAGCGTTTTCGCGACGGAATTTTCCCGTCGCGAATCGCGATTATTCTTGTAGTGTTTGGGAGCTTGTTTCAAGACCATCTAATCACAACGTGATTGGAACAAAATGGGTCTTTAGAAATAAAGCAAATGAAGATGGAATCGTTGTTCAGAATAAAGCAAGGCTAGTCGCAAAGGGCTACTCACAAGAAGAAGGAATTGATTTTGATGAGACATTTGCCCCGGTTGCAAGATTAGAAGCAATAAGAATTTTTCTAGCCTTTGCAGCTTACAAGAATTTTACAGTCTATCAAATGGACGTAAAAAGTGCATTCTTAAATGGCTTACTCGAAGAAGAAGTATATGTTGAGCAACCCCCAGGTTTCGAGGTCAAAGGTAATGTTAATAAGGTCTATAAACTAAAGAAGGAATTATATGGGTTAAAACAAGCACCGAGAGCTTGGTATGATACCCTATCAATGTTCTTAATTAGTTGTGGGTTTACCAAAGGCCTTGTTGACAAAACCATATTTAAAATTCAAGAAAATGATCATATTTTATTAGTACAAATTTATGTTGATGATATTATTTTTGGAAGTACTAATAAACTGTTATGTGAGAAATTTTCTAAGCTCATGCAGAACAAGTTTGAAATGAGCATGATGGGAGAGCTAAACTACTTTCTTGGACTACAAGTAAAACAACTGAAGGAAGGAATAGTCATAAATCAGGCCAAATACACCAAAGATCTTATTAAGAGATTCGGTCAAGGAGGAAAGAGTTCAGTAAAAATTCCAATGAGCACATCAGTCAAATTAGACAAAGACGATGAAGGCAAAGATGTTGACGAGATGCAATATCGAGGAATGATTGGATCTTTATTATATCTCACTGCGAGTAGACACGATATATCCTACTCAGTTGGTGTATGTGCAAGATTCCAATCTAAGCCAAAAGAAAGTCATCTACTTGCTGTCAAGAAGATTATCTGATATCTTAAAGGAACCATTAATGTTGGATTATGGTATCCTAAAGAAGGAAATTTTGAACTAACCGGTTTTCAGATGCAGACTTTGCAGGGTGCAAAATTGATAGAAAAAGTACCTCAGGAACGTGCCAGTTCTTAGGAGGAAGGTTAGTTTCATGGTTTAGCAAGAAGCAAAACTCCATTGCACCAAGCACAGCCGAAGCCGAATATATCGCTGCAGGGAGTTGTTGCACACAAATTCTATGGATGAAGCAGCAATTAAAAGATTATGGAGTCAATTGCAATGAAGTTAGTATTTTCTGTGATAATACTAGTGCCATAGCAATTTCTCAAAACCCAGTACTTCATTCAAGAACGAAGCACATTGATGTCCGACACCATTTCATACGAGATCATGTTGAGAAGAAAGACATCAAAATCGATCACGTACCAACAGAAAATCAACTGGCAGATATTCTGACAAAGCCTTTGTGCGAATCACAATTTATCACTCTAAGGCATGAGTTGGGCATTATCGAAATGAGCTAAGTATTTTTTAAGCTCAATTTGTTTAATTTAATTGTGGTTACTGTGTTTATTTTATTTGTCACGTACCTATATGTGCTAATTGCATAATAATCTGTGTTAATTGTGTTTTGCATGTTATGTAATTTTGTGTTAATTAAAATGCAATTTCTTAAATTAAAAAAAAAATTGTTGTCTTATAATTCTTAGATCTTCAGTACGTGTCTTATGTGATTTACATGACTTGTACGTGTCTTATGTGTGAAAGTTTTTATAAAATTTTTACCCTACTTACTAGAATAGTCATCTGTAAGTCATTGAGTTTTTACCTAGCACATGGAAATTTACTTTGAAAAAGTTGCTCTTGTTTGCATAACACATGTACCTTGTGTCAGAGAATGAAATTTAATGTGTATCTACCCCTTTGAAATTGGTTGAATTAATCATTATCTCTTTTTGATAAAAATATTTTGGCATGTATCTTTTATGCATGAATCTAATTCATCTGAGATATCTTTGAGCTGAACACCTCTCAATACTCAATAATTTGACCAAACTGCCCTCAATTTTTAAAATCCACTAAGCCTTTCATTAAGGGCATTTTTGTCCCTCTAGCCCTAAAAGTCTTAAAAGACCCTTCGTCTTCCCAAATAAACCCAATTTCAAACACTTCTCTTCTTCCTCTTTTACGAGAACACCATAGCCGAACCTCTCAAATTCTCTCATCCTCACTTCATTTTGATATCCACTCCAAATTAACTTCAAAAATGGCTTCCTCAAGTAGAAAACCATCCAAGAACACACCACCCACGACCTCAAATGAGAAAATCAGCACGGGACATCTCCTCGACCCAGCCGATTTTAAGAGTGTTTCTACAAATATAGTTCTTGCTCAAGAGATTCTGGACGGATTGGAGAAATATGGTCTTCAAAAGGTTTGCATGTTTCAATATATGGGTATTTTTGATGATGAAGCTTTTGATTTCTTCAAGCATGCTAAAATGAAAAACAATGTGATTAAATCTACTCTTAATGGCGTGCGGGTCTTTATTAATCAAAATGATATTAGAGAGTTGTTTGATTTCTCTAAGGATGATATTACTTTAGACAATTATTATTTTGATCAGCTTGAGTTTTGGACAAAGATTCGAATTAATGACAGTTTAAAAGTGCCCAAATTTTCTGGGAGGAAGGCCGAACTGTTTAAGTGGGAATTTAGTAAACTTGTTGAAGTTATTGCAAAGCGTGTTTTGTGCAAATTAGGTGGATTTGATAAGTCTACTTTACAAATAGCAAGTATGATGCATGTTGTTGTTCATTGAAAGAAATTGGATTGGAGCAAAGTGATTTTCAATCGATTGGTTACCATGGTGTATAGAGAAGACAAACCTAGTTATGGTCTCATGATTGGTGAACTTTTGAGGAGGAAAGGCATCAAGATGAAGGATAGAAAATCAATTCTTTCTAGCAAGTATTTGTTTCGAGTTAATGTCAAAAGAGAAAGAG